AAGAATAATAGGTTACACTTTACAAATAAGGTCTCATTAGTTAACCTTAGTTAATGCGTTAACATTAACAATGAGCAATAGCTACATTTGTTACAGAAGTTATTCTTTCTTAAAAAAATGATTCTTTGTTATCGAGAGTACCACGACGCTTGCGTGTGGTGCTGCTGCTGACGTAGAACATGCGCCTTGTTTACGAGCAGAGGAATGCACACGCATACGTCATGGCACTCTCGATAATGGCAGAGGACGGTGACTTGGAGGAGAAGAATTGTTGAATGAAGTCGTTGTTTTTGTTTTCTTTGCGCACAAAAAGCATTTTCGTAGCTTCGTAAAATTACAGGTTGAACCACTGATGTCACATGGACTGTTTTATCAATGTCCTTACTACCTTTCTGGGTCTGGGAATATTTCAGTTGCATTGCTGTCAGCGCAGGGTCAGACAGTTCTTGGATTTCATCAAAAATATCTTAATTTGTGTTCTGAAGATGAATGCAGGTCTTACTGGTTTGGAATGACATGAGGGTGAGTAATTGACCGTTCACAAAGACCCGCCCTCCTTAGTTACTGTTGCTATCCCCGACAAACAATGCCGCTCTCACACTACACATGTTCTTACGTAGTGAAAAATACATCGCAGATGTAACACTAACTCTCAGCTTTCAAATTTTGTCATTTTAAAAGAAATTCAAACAATAAATACCGTTTGTGTCGTGACAGACCTCTGTATTGCCTAAGTTCAAACACGTGAACCAATCGTCGTTTCATATTTACGCAAAGCACGAAATGAACAAATAAACATCAGAAAGCATTTTTTGTCAACCGCGGAACACACCCTTTTTTCAAGTGTAAGTCCACTGAACTTTATCTACTCTCCTGTCTGATTTGTGTTCAAGGCTAGAAGGTATAGGCCTACAGCTGCGGCTACTGGGCATGCGCATTTACACATTTTCCGAGCCAACAATATAACGTAAAACCTATGAAAATGGTTTAAAAAAAGAACCCATAGTTTCATCACTTTATAGTGTCGCAGTGACCATCTTTTTGCAGTAAAGGATCTGCCATAGTTTAATGAGTGGGAAGATGACATGAAGCGACGCGAGGTTAGCTGCATTAAAAACAGATGAGCGCACATGTGCATACAGCTCCTGATCGGGGCGAAGTTCACGAGATTTTGTCCACAGAATGATAAGAGCACACGTTTAACATATTTTATTATTTCACACTCAGTATTTTAACTTAAGCGCTGCAAGCCATGCATACAGCGCCGGACATGACAGATTTTCTGGTACGCAAAACAAGTACTTTAAAGGAATTCGTTAGCTTTTAGCCGTTACTGTGGCAGCCAACAACAGCACAGCTTAACCCTCCGCACATTTATATTTCGTTATATTGAAAAAGTTTCAATTCAGTCGATCTTTTTTACCCCGTTTTAATAGGGCTGGACGATATGGCCAAAACTTGTATCACGATAT